AAAAAAAACAAAGACAAAGACAGAGATATATTTATATTATAATAAAATAAAAACAGAGACAGAGATAGTATTAAATAGAGAGACAGAGACACACAGACAGAATAGAGATAGAAACAGAAAAAATATATAAATACTGATAGAGACTGAGATAGAGAGAGAGAAAAGGAGTGAGAGAGAGAAAGAAAGAAAGAAAAAAACAAAAACAAAGACAGAGACAGAAAGGATAGAAGCAGAGACAAAGAGACAGAGAAAGGAGACAAAGAGAGACAGATAGAATACGGGTGGAGACAGAGAGATAAAGAAAAGATAAAGACAGAGACAGAGAAGGAGACAGAAACAAACACAAAAAAAAGGAGACACAAATAAAAAAAACAAAGACAGACAGAGACAACACAGAAATACACGCAGACAGACAAGGAGACAGAGACAGAGACAGAAACAGAGACAGTAGAAACAGAGACAAAGACAGAGGAGACAGAGACAGAGGAGACAGAGACAGAGGAGACAGAGACAGAGGAGACAGAAATACACCCCACATGCGTTTGTTTGTCTTGCAGGCCAAAACGGAAGCAGCAGCAGCAGCAGGAGGAGGACAAACAGCAGCAGCAGGAGGAGCAGCAGCAGCAACAGCAGCAGCAGCAGCAGCACCATCAGTATCAGACACATCGACGAGCAGCAGCAGCAAAAACCAAGCCCGTCCTGCTGCTGCTCCAGCTTCTGCTGCAGCTGCACCAGCAGCAGCTTCTGCTGCACCTGCTGCAGCAGCGGGTGCACCGACAGGCGTTGCTGCTCCTGCTAGAGCTGCTGCTGCTGCTGCTCCTGCTGCTGCTGCTGCTGCTGCTGCACCCGTGCGACGCAGTCCCCTCGGCCCTGAAGCAGTCTCCCTGATGAAGGCGAGGATGGCGGGCCATGCAGGAGCAGCAGCGCCGCAGCAGGCCCCCAGCAGCAGCAGCAGCAGCAGCAGCAGCAGCAATGCCAACAGCAAAAGCGGACGCAGTAGCAGCAGCAGCAGACCCAGCAGCGGCAGCAGCAAACCTAGCAGCAGCAGCAGCAGCAGCGGGGCCTCTGCAAGGCCTCCACGCCCAGGTGAGGGGCCCCCGGGGGGAGTGCGGGGGCCCTCCAGTGGTATCCTCGGGCCAGCACCCAGCAGCCTCACCAGCAGCAGCAGCAGCAGCAGCAGCAGCAGGACAGAAGGAACCTCATCACGGGGGCACCGCGACGGCGGC